ACTTACCCAGAAGTCCTGACTCTCTCACAACAGGCCAGGAAAAAAAAAAAAAAAACGGGGAAGGGCTAAATTGTCACAGGTACTTTAGACCCCTGGCAAGTGAAAAAGGCAAATATGTATCTTCTTAGAATTCAAGCTTTCAAACAAAAATGAACTCACAATCAAAGATAAACAAACGCTTTTTTTCCTCTTCTTAAAATTTTGTTTAAATTATACAAATTTCATGCATTTCATGTATACAGATTTAGGAACATAAGGGATACTTCCCACCCCACCCTCCCTCCCGTCCATACTCCCACCCTTCCTCTTCTTCTCTCTCCTAATCCCACACTTAATTTTTACAATGACCTACTTTCCTTTTTTAAAAGATTTATTTATTTTATTTGAAAGTCAGAGTTACATAGAGGGAGGAGAGGCAGACAGAGAGATCTTCCATCTGCTGGTTCACTCCCCAGATGGCCACAATGGTCAGAGCCGCGCTGATCCAAAGCCAAAAGCCTGGAGCTTCCTCTGGGTCTTTCCACATGGGTACAGGGGCCCAAGGACTTGGGCCATCTTCTACTGCTTTCCCAGGCCATAGCAGAGAGCTGGATTGGAAGTGGAGCAGCCAGGACTCAAACCGGTGCCCATATGGGATGCTGGCACTGCAGGTGGTGGCTTTACTCACTATGCCACAGTTTACTTTATAAGCATAAGATTAACCCCACACTAAGTAAAGAGTTCAACAAATAGCAAGAAAGAAGGAGAAAAAAAAAAAAAGAACAACCACTGTTTACGGCTGTAAACAATCACCAAAGCTCAAAATGTCAATTTCACTCCTATACATTACATTTTAGGTACTCAATTAGTTACCACAGATCAAAGAAAACATATGGTATTTGTCTTTTTGGGACTGACTTATTTCAGTAAGTATAATGGTTTCCAGTTGCATCCATTTTGTTGCAAAAGACGGATTTTATTCTTTTTTTATAGCTGAATACTATTCCGTAGTGTATATATACCAAAATTTCTTTATCTAGTCATCAGTTGATGGGCATCTGGGTGGATTCCATACCTTAGCTATTGCAAATTGAGCTGCAGTAAACATAGGAGTACATATAACTCTTTCATCTGCTGATTGCATTTCCCTTGGGTAAATTCCCAGGAGTGAGATGGCTGGGTCGTGGTAGATCTATTTTCAGCTTTCTGAGGTCTCTCCATACTGTCTTCCATAATGACTGCAACAGTTTACATTCCCACCAACGTGGATTAGGGTACCCTTTTTTCACAACCCACCAGCATTTATTGTTGGCTGATTTCTGTATGAGAGCCATTATAACTGGGGTGAGGTGAAACCTCATTGTGGTTTTGATTTGCATTTTCCTGATGACTAGTGATCCTGATCATTTTTTCATGTGTCAGTTGGCCATTTGAGTTTTCTCTTTTGAAAAATGCCTGTCCAAGTCCTTTGCCCATTTCTTAACTGCATTGTTTTTGTTGTTGTTGTTGTTCAGTTTCTTGAGCTCCTCATAGATTCTGGATATTGATTCTTTATCAGTGTCATAGTTTGCAAATACTTTCGGTCGGTTGCCTCTTTGCTGATTATTTCTTTTGCAGGGCAGGAGTTTCTTGGCTTACTGTAATCTCATTTGTCTATTTTAGCATTGGTCACCTGTGTTTCTGAGGTCTTTTCTAAGAAGTCTTTGCCTATGCCAATGTGTTACGGAGCTTCCCCAATGTTCCTCTCTGGTAATTTGATGGTATCAAGTCCTAGTTCAGATCCTTGATGCATTTTGAATTGATTTTTGTATAAGATATAGTAAGGTAGGGGTCTTGTTTTATACTTCTGCATACATAGATCCAATTTTTCCTGCACCATATGTTAAAGAGACTCTCCTTTCTTCAAGGATTGATTTTAGCTCCATTGTCAAAGATAAGTTGGTTTTAGATGTGTGGGTTGATTTCTGGAGTTTTTATCCTGTTCTGTTGGTCTGTATATCTATTTTTGTGCCAGTACCAGGCTGTTTTGATTATAACTGCCCTGTAATATGTCTTGAAATCTGGTATGGTGATGCCTCAAGCTTTTAAACAGATACACTGAGGAAGGATGACATAAGTGAGAGACAGTGGGCATAACAAAATATAAATTTAGTCTCCCAAGACTTTGGAATTTGGAGTTATCTGATACAGAATATTAAAAAGTTACATATTTTGGGCTTAACAAAAGGAAGGTTGGACCAAAAAATGGGCATGTAAGAAGAGCAAAGCATATTAAGAATTACCAGGTAAATGTAACAAATAATCAAATATAACTTTTTTTTGACAGGCAGAGTTAGACAGCAAGAGAGAGAGACAGAGAGAAAGGTCTTCCTTCTGTTGGTTCACCCCCCAAGTGGCTGTTATAACCGCCATGCTGCGCCAATCCGAAGCCAGGAACCAGGTGCTTCCTCCTGGTCTCCCATGGGGTGCAGGGCCCAAGGACCTGGGCCATCCTCCACTGCCTTCCCGGGCCACAGCAGAGAGCTGGACTGGAAGAGGAGCAACCGGGACAGAATCTGGCACCCGGACCGGGACTAGAACCCGGTGTGCCGGCGCCGCAAGTGGAGGATTAGTCTAGTGAGCCGCGGCACCGGCCCAAATATAACTTTCTAAAACTAAGATTATAATTGTTGAAATAAAAAATATATAAAATGTGTTACTTATATAGTGGATTAGACACAGATGAAGAGAGAAATTGGAAGAAAGAAAATGGAAGACGCATTTTAAAACAGTTTTCAGGAGGCTGGCACTGTGGCATAATAGGCTAAGCCTCCACCTGCAGCGCTGGCATCCCATATGGATTCCAGTACGTGTCCCAGCTGCTCCTCTTCCAATCTGGATCTCCACTATGGCCTGGGAAAGCAGTGGAAGATGGTCCAAGTGCTTGGGCCCCTGCACCCACATGGGAGACCCAGAAGAAGCTCCTGGCTTCAGATCCGCCCAGCTCTGAAAGTTGTGGCCACCTGGGGAGTGAACCAGCAGATGGTAGACCTTTCTGTCTCTCCTTCTCTCTTTCTGTAACTCTTTCAAATAAATAAATAAATAAAACTTTAAAAAAAACTTTTTCAGAATGTAGGATAGAGGGATAAGTTGAAAATATGAACCAAAAATTCAGAGATATTGAAGGTAGAGTGAGAGATCTTATACAGCCCATTTTGAGTTGCAGAAAGAAAAACTAGAAATGATGAACAGGAAAAAGTATATAAAAGATGAGAATTTCAAAGTTCACATGAATGGAAAATACGACATGTAGCAAGCAGAATAAATAAACAGAAACTCATGTTAATACATGCAGGAATAGTGCTGTAGAACATAAAGTAAAAACAGGTGAGCTGAAAAGTGGGCAGAGAGACGAAAACAGAGAACCTGCAAGGAGAATCATAAGTGACGAAGAGGCAGCTTCTCAATGGCAATAACGAAAGACAAGGCACAGAAAAATGCAATCTCAGTGATACAGAGAGAGAGCCATAATTCTGTAGTCCGCAAATACTGTATTTCAAAAGTTGGGGCTGCTTGATATGACATACTAACGTAAGATATTAACAACAGAAAAAGCTGCATGTAGGCTATATTAAAACTCATTCCACACAACTTTTATTTTGCGAATTTAAAGCCATTCTGGGAAAAAATTAAGAAATAAAAAATAAAATAAGGAAACATCAAGATATCATGGAAAAAGAAGAAAATTAAGTGACTGGAGTTAAAATGCCCTAATCTGATTTTAGCTTTCAGGAAAGGGGTTAAGACATGCATTTTGTCCATATTACTAATACTTGCTAAATTTGAATAATAATATTTCAACATACTGACTAAAGAATAGCAACAGAGTTCATTTAAAAAAAAAAAGAAACCCTGAAGATTTAGCAAAGAAAAAAAGTTTAGGACTGATAAGTAACACTTCAGAAAAGTTGTAGGGTATAAGGGGCCGGCGCTGTGTCACAGCAGGTTAAAGTCCCAGCCTGCAACGCCAGCATCACACATGGACGCCGGTTCAAGTCCTGGCTGCTCCACTTCCTACCCAGTTCTCTGTTATAGCCTGGGAAAGAAGTAGAAGTTGGCCCAAGTCCTTGGGCCCCTGCACCTGCATGAGAGATCCGGAAGAAGCTCCTGGCTCCTGGCTTCGGATCAACTCAGTTCCAGATGTTGCAGTCATTTGGGGAGTGAACCAGTGGATGGAAGACTCTCTCTCTCTGGCTCTACCTCTCTCTGTAACGCTTTCAAATAAATAAAATAAATCTTTTTTTTTTTTTTAAAGTTGTAGGGTATAAAACCAAGATACCAAAGTTAGTTGGCTTTCCATACACCAATAATCAATTGCAAGAAAAAAAGTCAAGAAAACAAGGCAATCCTCAAAATACCTAGGAATGTGCTTTCTAGTATTTATTTATTTTGAAGTGTGTAGGGGAGAGAGAGAGGGAAAGGGAGAGAGAAAGAAAGTGCACCCATTTACTGGCTCACTTCTGAAATACCACAACAGCTAGGGCCAGGCCTAAGCTAGAAGCTGGGAACTCAATCTGGATCCCCCACATGGGTAGCTGGAACCCAGTTACCTGAGCCATCACCTGCTGCCTCCTAGGGTCTGCACTGGCAGGAGTCAGAAGCCACCAGAAGTCCAGGCACTCCAACATGGCACGTGATCTTAATCATCGTCTTAACTACTAGGCAAAGTAACTTACCATGGGCTACTATTTGACTCTGTAATTTACCTAAGAGCCCAAAATTCTACCCTGGATATAAAAATAAACCCATGCACATTAATATTACATTCACATTCAACATATTTTAAGATTTAAATAAATCTAAACAATTATTTATAATCCAAGAACACAATAAGTCCTCGTGAAGATTCATGAAGTAAAAATTGAATATAAAATGATCAGTTGATTTATTAGACAATTACAGAACCCTACCTCTAGCAGTTAAAGAATACACAAACTTCGGTGCCAGCGCTGTGGTGTAGGGGATAAAGCTGCTGCCTGCAGTGCCTGCACCCCATATGGGTGCCCGTTCAAGTCCCAGCTACTCCACTTCCCATCCAGCTCTCTATTATGGCCTGCAAAAGCAGTAGAAGATGGCCCAAGTCCTTGGGCCCCTGCACCCAAGTGGGAGACCTGGAAGAAGCTCCTGGTCCCTGTCTTCGGATCGGCGTAGCTTGGCTATTGCGGCCAATTGAGGAGTGAATCAGTGGATGGAAGACACCTCTCTCTCTCTCTCTCTCTCTCTCTCCCTCTCTGCGTCTCCTCTCTCTGTGTAACTCTGACTTTCAAATAAATAAATCTTAAAAAAAAAGAATACACAAACTTCAAGAGATCTATTGTACAACACAGTGACTGCAGATGATAACAGTGTATCATATACTTGGAAACTGCTGAGAGAGAAGATTTGTAGTCCTCACACCACAAAAAAAAATCATAAGCGGGTGAGGTAACATATGTTAATTAGTTTGCTCTAGTCATTTCCTATTGTACACATATTTCAAAACATCATGCTCTATCTCCATAGTTATATACAATTTTAATGTCAATTTAAAAATAAAACCATTATTTTTTTAAAAAATAATTTTCTCCAACACATATTTCAAAACTTGGTCACATAGCAATTCATAAAGTAAGCCCCACATGCTGCATATTTTGAAGACTAAGTATCATATTGATTATAGTCTGCGAAAAAAAATTTCAATAAATGTGCTGGTCTTCCATATGGAGAAAAAATAAACTGATTCTTACCTTACACCACACATATCATGGACAATGGAAAATAAGTGGTTCTAAAGTCTTCCATAGCCTAGGCATCTCATTTCAAGAGCCTCAGGTGGTCACTGATATCATACATAAGAGTTTTAATTGTTAACAATAGTCACTGTGCACTAACTCCCCATGCAGGACCTCTGTCCTCAACGAGTTGTATTGAGAGTTAACAGTAAAACCAGTTCTCAAATAGTTTGTGTGTGTGTGTGTGTGTGTGCAAATTATTGAAATCTTTACTTAGTACAGACTTGGTCTTCTGTGTACAAAGTTACCTGAAATGAATCTTAATGGAAAATGGGACTGGTAAGGCGGAGGGGGGATGAGGAGGGGTGAGCGTGTGGGAGGGAGGGCTGCTATGGTGGGAAGACTAACCATATTCGGAAAGTTGTACTTATGAAATTTGTATTCCTTAAAAAATAAATTTTAAAGAATTAAATTTAAAAAAAGAAAAAAGAAATGGTTCTGCACTTGGGCTGTAATTCCTGCCCTGCACTGGGGAACGGGGAGCAAAGACCTAATGAAAGAAAGAACACGCTCTAATCTTGTTTACATGCTACTGATAGACATCTGGGGAAAAATGATGACATTTGTGAATGGAACAGTCTTTACCTATGGGATGCTTTTTAGCAGGATCTATCTAGTAACCTAAAATCAATCATGCTGGATAAACATGAGATCTATGAATTTACAGTGCATGGATGGACCTTCTGGATGGGAGGTGTGACTCTCACTCGTGGCTTTGAGACATCGTGTATTAATCTGAACCCAGAGTCAGCCGGTATTGCAAGAATCTGAAAAGCAACACCGAGGGTCCACAGCGCCCCTGCTTCACAGGCGCCTTAATTTTTTAGCAAAGCTAATAAGGGCACTTCTCTGATTCATGCGAGTCTGATTTCACAGTGTGACCCTCTGTGCTATCCCAGACGTAATAAAGCAAATAACAGGGCAAGCCATAACCTGGCAGAGTTTATTCATAGTGCATCCAATCAACAAAGGATTAATCTGCTGATTAGATAAGAAGTCCTGTAAGGGGCAAACTAAAGAGGTTTCACAGTAGACCAAGATCAGAAAAAGATGCTCATGCTTACAAGTAAACTAGAAAATTTCTGGTCAAAAGCATGAGGAAATGCCCTTCAAGACTCGCCATATTGGTTGCTGGCAGAGTTAAAGAGAAATTCTAGCCTTTGGGTGGGTATTTGGTACAGTAGTTAAGTCACCACTTAGGATGCCCATATCCCATACCAAAGTGTTGGGGTTGAATCCCAGCTCCTCTGCTTCTGATCCCAGCTTCCTGCTAATGCACATCTGGAAGGCACAGGTGATGGCTCAAGCTCTTGGGTCCCTGCCACCCAGGTGAGAAACCCAGACTGAGATTCTGGCTCCTGGCTTTGGCATGGATGGCGTGGGCATCTGGGTAGTAAACCAGCTAAAGGACGATCTCTCTCCGTCTGTCTCTATACCCCTCTGCCTTTCAAATAAAATGAAAATAAACAAAATTTTTAAAGCACTTTCAAGAATATGAATACTCTTTAAAAAACTTACCTGTAATATTTATTCACTTTTGGTGGGAATGTAAAATAATTTCAACAATTATTTACCATTATTTTACCCCAAAATAAATCCTATAATCTAGATACCCCATTCCTAAATATAAACTGTAAAGAAACCCATGCACATTCTTGCACCAGGAGACAAAAATGTTCATAGTAACACTATTTGCATCAACTACAGAATGGAAGAATAATTTTAAGTATAGTAAAAACAAAAAGCATTAAAGTAATAAAAATAAATGAATTACATATAACTTGGGTGAAACTTAAAATCATAATATTAAGTAAAATATAACTGAAAACTCAAATATACTTTCCTATTTTTATGAAATTCTAGATCAAACAGAACACTGTTGTTCTAAATCAACAATTTAATAATAAAATGTTTAGGATACAATGTGTTTGTTGATGCTATCTTAAATGAAGAAATCACAACACAGTTTAGGACTGTCATTCATGTACAGATATCCAAAGACATCCAGGCCCAAATCCTCAGAAACTGTATATATATATTACCTTACCATGGCAAAAGGGACTTCGCAGATTAATTCAGGTAAGAATCTTGAGATGCAAACGCCATCCTGGATATATGTGTGAGCCCACTGTCATCACAGGGATCCTTATAAGAATGAGAAAGACTTGTCAGACAAGAGATAGGGTGATGGAAGCAAAGATTCCAGAAAGAGAGGTTGGAAGATGTTGTGCTGCTGGCTTTGAAGATGGAGGAAGGACAATGAGCCAAGGAATGGTTAAGCCTCCCAAAGGCAGAAAAGGCAAGGAAATGGCTTCTTCCCTGGAGTCCCCGGGAGACACATACAGCCCTCTGACTCCAGAAACCTAAGATAATAAATGTGCACTGTGTTAAGCTTGCTAGATTTGTGGCAATTTGTTACTGCAGCAACAGAAAATGAATACACTATGAGAAAGCTAAGAGGCTGCAAGAGTGCAGTTCTGCCCAGATGCACTCGTATTGATTCATGGGCTCGTGTAAAAGTTCAGTGGTGGCTTCACAAGTATCTGCCTTTTGCACTTCTTCAGTTACATAACTTGTTCTTTTGTTGGATATCAACTATTACACTGAAAACCTTCTATATGCATGCACACCAAAGATGAATGGAGAAGAGTAGCAGGTTTGGGATGAGGCTAAGAAGGTGGGTCTTCCCCCCGATACGCTGCATTTGAGACATAAAGGAACATTCAGGAAGAGAGGTGCAGACAGCAGAGAAGGGAGTCTGGAGCTCAAGAAAGGAGTCTAACACCTTCCAGGTAGTAAGTAAGCCAATGGTGGAGTTACATAGGCAGAGTGTGTAGCCTGGAGACTAAGTCCTGGGTGAGTCCACAATTACAGAAGGATGGAAGAAATCTAAAAAAGATCGAGGGGTGCACTGCTGTGTAGAAGAGACCATAGAGTTATTGGAGAGACTATCTAACATGTGACACAAATATTTAGTCATTTGGACAGGCATTTGATGTAGAGGTTAAGCAACTGCATTCTACATCAGAGTGTCAGGGTTCCATCTTCTTTCCAGCTCCTGACTCCATCTTCCGGCTAATGGGCCCTGGAAAACAGTGGGAATGGTTCAAGCAGCTGGGTTCCTGCCAACCCACATGCGAGACCTGGATTAAGTTCTCAACTTCTGGCTTTGGCTCAGAGTTCTGGCCATTGCAGAACATTTAGGGAATAATTCAGCAGATGAGATTCTCTCTCTTCTTCCCTCCCCTCCCCTCCCCTCCCTTCCCTTCTCCTCTTCTCTCCTCTCCTCTCCTCTCCTCTCCTGTCCACTTCAAATACCCCTCTCCTATTTCAAACAAATACAAATTTTGAAAATAAATATTTCATAATTTATGTGCATATACTTGAAAATTATAGTGGTATGATTTTCAAGAAACTCACTGCTAACCTCACTAGTAAGATATTTGCTATATCTAATGTACCAGACCCTGGTTGGATCTTACTAACCTTCCAGAAGGGCCAGACTAGTCCTGCTTGTCTCTTCATGAAACCTCAGCCATCAGACTCACAGAGGAGTAGAGAGCAGGCTGAGCATTAGGAACCTGGTTTGCTGTACCAGTAGGACCCAGGTAACTCAAAAGCACCTGTTTTCTTACCTTTGACCTCTTGCACTTATCTGCAGGATGTAGCTACATCTGAGGTGGAGACTTCTTCAGATGTGATGTGATGATGTGATGTGATGTGATGATGTGATGTGATGTGATGTGATGTGATGTGATGTGATGTATGTGTGTGTACATGTGCACAAGCATATTGTGGCAGCAACCACTCTTCTCAAATTTTAGGGAAATGATGAGTACTATGAGATTGTTCCTGTCATTGCTCTTGTCTCTTCTGTCTGTCCTGTTTATGACCTCCATGTCCACAGATGCTACTAAGCTATGGCCTTTTCACCACACTGTTGTCTGAAAATACATCTGTCCACTCTCAGAGCTGCATGGAAATCATTGGTGAAGGAAATGGTGAACATTACAACCAGTTCTGCAGAAAGTAAAGCAATGGCTGTGACTGTGGGAGCAGAGCTGACATACAGCACGTCAGTGAGTATTTTCCACTTGGTATGTGCAGACCATATTGGGTCGATTGCTTTTTAGCGCACTGTGTGTTGAAGTCAGTCTTTGTCACTTTAAGTCTGACACTGCAACTGCAAAATGCAGCATTTACCCTCTGAAGCGTCATGCCAGTACCTTACTGTGTGCAAAACATCTTTGTTTTTACTGCCACTGAAGGATATTAATTTCTTAGGGAGAATGAATTAGCACCTCAGCATCTTAGTATTCACAAACATTTTAAACATTTATTTGCAAGGCAGAGACAGAGACAGACAGACAGACAGAATTCCTGTCTGCTGCTTAACTTCTGAAATGCGCACAACAGCCAGGACTGGACCAGACCAAAATATGAGCTGGGAACTCAACCCACATCTCCCATTGGGTGATGTTACCTGCTGCCTCCCAGTGCCTGCATCAGCAGGAAGCTAGAATCAAGAGTTGGACCTAGGGCCGGCACTGTGGTGCAGCAGGTTAATCCTCTGCCGGCATCCCAAATGGGCACGGGTTCTAGTCCCGGCTGCCCCTCTTCCAATCCAGCTCTCTGCTGTGACCTGGGAAGGCAGTGGAGGATGGCCCAAGTGCTTGGGAAGAAGCGCCTGGCTCCTGGCTTCAGATCGCCACAGCTCCGGCAGTTGTGGCCATTTGGGGAGTGAATCAACGGAAGGAAGACCTTTCTCTCTGTCTCTCCCTCTCAGTGTCTGTAACTCTACCTCTCAAGTAAATAAATAAAATCTTTAAAAAAAAAAAAAAAGAATTGGACCTGAGAATCAAACCCAGGTACTTCAATATGAGTGCATCCCAACTGGCATCTTAACTACTAGACCAAACACTGCTCTCATACAAGTTCTTTAATAATGATGGCCTGTGTCTATTTTCTCCTTTACCACTCATTTCCTTTCCTTTAAAATCTGACTTAAGGAAAGGGGCTAACTTAGAGTAATAATTTAGACATTTGTACTGAATAGTACATATGAACATGTTTTAGTAATTCAATTATAAAATTTGAAGTAGCAAAATATTTTCCTACCTTTAAACAGCACTTGAAATTAAAAACTGAATGTTGTATTAACATTGTCACTGTGGAAGCTCATATAGGAAACAGCATGATGCCATCTGTTGGTGAATTCTTGGATATTGCTCGTCTCTTTAGTATTTTAATGTTGAGATTATCCATGTTCTTTCATTCAATTATATTAAGCAGTTACTATGTGCCAAGAACCACACTATTATTAAGATAAATAAACCTGATGACCAATCAAACCTTAATTTAAGAAGTTTGGCATGCATATTCTATTCCTAAGTCAAGAATTTCCCACAATTGTACTGCAGCAAAAATAGTGTCATAGTTCGACATTTTAGGGAACTATGGGAAATCCATTGAGCTAATCACTTTAGTAAGCCTAAAATCAGATTTGGCAATACTAGATCTCTTTTTCCACAATGATTTTGTGGGCCAAACCAAACAAGGTACTCCTTTAAAATTCTTAGCATTCCTTCATTCCGATGAAATAAAATTAGAATCATCCTGCTAAATACTAGATATTTGCAGAGTGATTTACTTAGATCAAAAGCTTAACAGAGGCAGGCATTTGGCCTGGTGTTTAAGTTGCTACTTGACACCCACAGCCCTTGTCGGAGTACCTGTACTTGGGTTCTCGCTCCACTACCACTTCCAGCTTTCTGTTACCGTGTACCCCAGGAGGCTGCAGGTGATGGCTCAAGTAATTGGGTTCCTGCTGCCTATATGAGAGAACTGGATTGCATTCTTGGCTTCCAGCTTTGGCCCCAGCTGTTGCAGACATTTTGAGGAGTGAACCAGGTGATGGAAGCCCTGTCATCCTACAATCCACCGCCCACATGGCACCATTATGGGTCTTGAACACAAAAATCAAATATCAAATCATATCTCATCCTACCCCAAATCCATCACTATTTTCTATCCTGCTTTAGACATGTTTGGGTCCTGCACGATCTTCCTCTGTCTTCATTTCTAGTCTCATTTCTGTTCACTTTGCTCCTTACCCATTCCTTTTGGGTCACTCTGGCTTTCTAGGTCACACCTAACTCATGCCCTTCCCACAGCCTGGAAATCTCTTTCCTTAGACCTCAGATGTATGTGTGGCTTATCCCTCCCAGGCTCTGTTCACATGGCACAGCCATCCTACCCATATAGACTATCTCCTTAGTCCCTATCCCAATCCATTCAGTCCTCTTGCCCCACTTCATTTTCCTTCCTGATGCCATCACTACCTGAGAGGCTAGCTTGTATTTGTCTGGTTTTGGTCTGGCTTCTTTTCTAGAGGGTAAACACCAAGAGAGCAGAACTTAGAATGTTTCTTTAGCTCATTTTTTTTTAAAGTTTCTTTACTTACTTGTTTGAGAGGTAGAGTTACAGACAGAGGGAGAGACAGAGAGAAAGATCTTCCATCTGCTGGTTCATTCCCAAATGGCTGCAATGGCCAGAGCTGAGTCGATCCAAAGCCAGGAGTCAGGAGCTTCTTCTGGGTCTCCCACCTGGGCACAGGAGCCCAAGCACTTGGGCCATCCTCCACTGCTTTCCCAGGCCATAAGCAGAGAGCTGGATTGGAAGAGGAGCAGCTGGGACCAGAACTGGCACCCATATGGGATGTCTGAACCATAGGCAGAGGCTTAGCCCACTACAGCACAGCACCCCAGCTCATTTGTTTATTTAACATGGTCTCACACAGAGAAACATGCCAGGCATTTGGAATCTCTCAATAATTATTGCATAAATAATTATTCATGAATAATATTTAAATTACATAAAAGGGATTTTGAAATATTCAACAAAAATGCACGCTATGAGAATATCATGTATGGATTTTCAATTTTTGCATTAAAATAAACTTATCTTTTAAATTCATTTTCTATGACTTATTGAAATACCTCATACAATGACATGAATAAAATTTTTAGATTTTATTTATTCATTTATTTATTTGAGAGACAGAGAACTCCTATTTAGTGGTTCACTTCCCAGACGCCCACAACAGTCAGGGTTGCAACAGCCTAGAAACTCAATCCAGGACTCCC